CTCTTCTTCCCCCTTTTCCCTCCCTCCCTTTCGTCCTTCCTTCCTTCCTTCCTTCCTTCCTATCTTCCTTCCTTCCCTCTTCTCCCTCTTTTTCCTCCCTCCGGGGCAGAAGAGAGCAGAAGGCATGGCTGACCCCTTTGCCTGTTCATGGCTAGCCAAAAAGTCCTAATTTTCGAAGTTCTGGCTTCAGGTAAATCTCCTGGACCAACACCCCCTCTTTCCCCAAAACCTGGTTCTTCCCTCCCTTCTTCTTTGAGATGTTCTTGCCAACATGTAAAAGGAAAAAAAAAAGGGGGGGGGCTTTTGTAAAACAGACAGGACTCACAAGGGGTTGCAGCAACGAAGCCCAATACTTCCCTTAATGAGTTAATGGAAAGCAGACCCTCCCAATGTCAAAATAACTGTGGGCAGCGGGTGTTTGGTAGATCCCTGAATTAGGCTAAAATGTCGTTTTTGGACTGAAATCTCCACCGGTTGCCTTCAAGCAAAAGAATTCTGGGAGCTTCCGGGTTTGGGGAAGGATCCCCAGGAATCCCTCTCTTCAGTGACTCTCCATGAGAAGGGAATCCTAAATAAAATCAGTGTGGATCTTATTTAAATCAGCTCTGGCACATTTTATCTTTCTCAACGCCCAAATCTACCAACCCCAAACCAGCCCAAATATTACTGCTCTGCTTGTTCTGGGGTTCAGTTGCTGCCTCACCTGCGCTAAGCTTCTTTGCCTGTTCGCCCTTTACCTGCTTCTGGGCCCCACGGGTGCATTTAGGATGTTGGAAACCCGGGTGGCCAAGCGTGAATCTTGAAATCGATTGGAGGTGATGAGGCAAGAAGGAAGGGAGAAAAGAAAAGCGAGCAAATGAAGGGAGAAAAAGAAAAAAGGAGAGAAGGAAGGGAAAGAAAAAAAGGAAAGAAAGGGAAAAAGAAGGAACGGAAAGGGAAGAGAAGGAAAGGAAAGGAAAGGAAAAGGAAAGGAAAGGAAAGGAAAAAGAAAGGAAGGAAAGGGGGAAATTTTCCAAAGGAAATGCCATTTTTCCTGTTGCTCCTAACCTCAAAGATCCGTTTGTCCGAGATTAGATTCTCTCTAAGGGCTTCGTTGCCTGGAGAATTTTACCCACGCAGGCCTAAAACCTCGCAGGGTTTACTCGGAAGGAAACTCCTCGCGTTCCCTTAAAATGTCTTTGCAGAGGCCCGGCGTGGCATCTTGCAAATAAATCCGTTTTAAACGCGCGCGGCATGAATTCAGGCCCGCGAAGGGCCGAGGCGCAGCCGAAGCCTTATTCCAAACCTGCGAGGGGGAATTGAGAAACGGGCTTTGGAAAGAGGCAGGTGGGATTTTAAGGGGAGGGGTGGAGGGGAAATGGAGGAACCGGGGGGGGGGGTCTCCTCCGAGTCGAAGAGTTGGGCGAACTTGAATTCGCCTCCTTTTTAATACAGCCACTCCTGGAATCACGCGCGAGTCGTTCGGAAAAAGAGACTTTTTAAACCACTCGCCCTATTATTTCGTAGTGGACAAGCGTGCCCACACGCGTGTGTGATAGTTACACACGTGCACGCACTCACAATGGCAGAATAAGGCTATTTTTTTAACGAGGGTTTTTAAAAAAGGCAAAAATCTCCTGTTCAGTTTTCCTCCCAAACGCTTATTGTTTTGGGGTTTTTTCCCCCCCGCATTCTCTCTCCCTCGCTCCCGCCCCAATTTTTTACGCGGTCTGCTCGATATTTATCCTTGATTAATATTTTTAAAACAGTTGGCCTTTATTATTTTAAATCCCCCGAAAGAGAAGGGACGGGGTTCCGGATTCCGCCCCGCCTTTCCGTGGCTTGCGAGTTTGAAAGCAAGGCGTTGGAAATGTGCGCAGGGTAGAATAAAATAAAATAAAATATCAGAAGGATTTTGGGCTGAAATTGGTGGGGAGAGAATCTTTTTAGAGAGGAGGAATAATAATGTTAATTATAACCATCGCCATCATCAATAAAATCCCATAAATCTCTCTTCCAGGTAGGGACGGAGAATTAATCCCAAGGAAAACGGCCCTTTCTTTCCTTTGCGTGGGGGGCTCCCATACGGCCTCTCAATCTCCCCCCCCCTTGCATTTTTGGGTCCGACCTCTGCCGTGGGACCACCCCGAGGCGGGTAACATGCGAGGATCCCCGCTTAGATCCCTGACTCCGTTCTCACGACTGGCTGGACTCGGGTTTTTGCAGGAAAGGCCAGCAAATCCGTTTGCATCTCAAAACTGAACAGCCCCCAGTCAGTTTTCCTGCTGGGGAAAGATTTATATTTTTTTTGGGGGGGGAGGGAATTGAGAACGGGGGAAGAGTCCAATTCTGCAAGCCCCAAAAAGAAAAAAGTAAACTTTTCTTTCTCTTGCGAAAAAAGTAAAAGTTTACTTTCGCTTTTACTGTAGACTCGTTTTATTGCGCTGGTTGGAAAACAACCCCAGTTAATAGAAACTGGCTTTTTCGGATCCCTCTCTCTGAGCTTCAAATTTCTTTCTCTTTTTGGGGAGAACGGGAGGTAATTTAAGTTCCTCACCGGCCAGTCGTCGGCTTTCCGACGGCTTCCCCAGTTCGTTCTCCCCGGCTCAGCCGCCCCTCCGTATTTCGAATAAAATGGGCCCTGTTTTTAGAATAAGCTGCTGCCCAGATGGAGACAGGAAAATTGTGTCTGCGTTTGGGTGTATTTCTCTTTTATTGCCACACGCCCAGCAAAACGAAGACACCCCTCCGAACGTTAAAATAACAAGGTTTTTCTTTTATTATTTATTAGATTTATACGTCGCCCATCTCACTGTCAAGCGACCCTGGGCGACTTATGGCGTATTTAATTACCTCTTATGATTAAGCTCCGGGTCAGGTTCACAAAGAAATAGGGATTAAAGCCGAGGGGACCACAACGCTAGCCCTCTTCAGCAGGTCCATGACTTTGGACCTGGTGGCCTACCTCGCAGGGCTGTCGTTGGTGAAAGGAGGGGGTCCGCTGGGCATCTTGGCCTCCGGAGGAAAGGAGGGTTACTATTCTGGCCCGCAAATTAACATCGGGTCGGAAAATAGTCTCCAAGAATCTGGGGATGGGAGGTTTTCCCCTCTGTTGGGGGGGAGGGTCTGCGCCCCTCTTTCTAGGGCCGCCTCGCCCTCCCTCCCCGCCCCCTTTTCACGCCAGCCTGGACCACCCTCCTTCTTTCCGCAGACGCGGTGCCCGGGCGGCAGCCCTCGCTGCGTTCCCACGTGCACAAGCAGGCGGAGAAGACGACCCGGGTGCGGACGGTGCTGAACGAGAAGCAGCTTCACACGCTGCGCACCTGCTACGCGGCCAACCCGCGGCCGGACGCGCTGATGAAGGAGCAGCTGGTGGAGATGACCGGGCTGAGCCCACGCGTGATCCGCGTCTGGTTCCAGAACAAGCGCTGCAAAGACAAGAAAAAGTCCATCCTCATGAAACAGCTGCAGCAGCAGCAGCACAGCGACAAGGCAGTAAGTGGGCCAGCCGAGCCGGGCCGGGCCGGGCCGGGCCGGGCCGGGCCGGGCCAAAGCGCCTCTCCCCCTCTCCTGTCTCCCTGTTTGCATTGGCAGAGAAAGTGTCCCGGCCCACGAGCGAGCCAGCCCCATGAATCCGACAGGTCCCCCCCCCAAAAAAACTCTCAGGACTACAATTCCAATTATGCTGGCGCCCCCCCCCCAGACCCTTGGGAGTACAGTTCCCATACTGCTGGAGGGTTCCCCCATCCCAGACTCTCCCATAATATTGTGGGTTCCCTTTTCCCAGATTCTCAGGACTACAATTCCCATAATGCCAGCAGGTTTTCCCCTCCCAGGCTCTGGGGACTACAGTTCCCATAAAGCCACTCTGGGGAGGGGTGGAATCTTGATTTCCTCTCCTTTAAGGCAGCCGTATTTTCTTGCTCCCTCCCCGCTCAATTCTTTAGGAGTCCTGGTTTTGGGGGGGGGCTCAAGGGGGGCAATGAAGGGAATTTCAAGTGGCAGGAGGGTTCCTGTGGCATGCCCTTGTGTTTTGCCACTGATGGAGGGAGGGGAGATTAACCTCGGTCCCAGATTCACTGTCTCATCATCCCCTGCCTTTCTCTGTCTGCAAAATCTAAAAAGTCAGGAATGGCTGCATTCCCATGAGATGCTGAAGGTCTTTAGGAAATGGTCCCCCCCTTTTTTTTTCCAACTAGGGTAACATTTTGAGCCATCCAAGGAGGGCATGCCCCCCCTTCCCCAGCAGAGAGACTCAAAGTCTGAAGAGAGACTGAAGGGTACCCTTGTTTTTTTTTGGGGGGATGGATTTGACGGGTCTTCAAGAGAGTAAGGGAAGCAAGGACCCGGGTGTTGGGGAGTTGGGTTTGGGAGAAGGTTGATTCTCCAAATCCTACAATTTGGAAATCAGAGGAAGGGGCATCGCCTATGTCTGCAGGCTCGAGTTATTTATGAAAATAACAAAAGCGGGCTCAAATTCTAATCAACAATGTTAAATAAATAAATTAATTAGACCAAAGGCTGTTTTTGCAAGCTGGGTATGATGGACCAGGACGGGAGAGGGAAAATTCTCAGGATCAGGGTTTCTTTGGATCTGAATTCCCTGGGGGGGGGTTGTCAACCAATCCCACTGATCTGGAGTGAGCCCCATAGATTTGAGGCTACCATGTCAGGGTTCCAAAGTCTAAGACCTTCTCGATCCAGATATGGCAGCCCTGCCTTGCCCCATTGACTTCAATGCAACTGACTCCTGTGCAGAAGCCTAGTAGACCTTCTGCTCAGGGTACAAAACTACTCAGCTCCCTAAAGCGGGTGCAGTTCCTCTTTGGGGGCCTAAGCCCTAGTTACACATAGCTAGCATTGCACCGCAAAGAGTTCTCCACCATTAGGCTCTTAAGCTCAGCAATAATATTTATTTTTATTCGTGGCCATCCGCCAGCTGATATTTAAGCAATATTGATTTTTTTTTTCCGGGCGCAGGATCAATAGTGTCTCTTGCTATTGAAGGAGTAAAATCCGTCTGCAGGGAAAGGCAGGCAGATAATGATGGCAATAATAACAACAACAATAACAGCTGTAATGATTCATCCGGCTTCTTTGTAAAAACATCCACCCAAAGCAGCTACGATATCTTCCTTATATTTATTTCATCTATAGAAAAGCAGAGGGATGATTTCAAATAAGCCTGTTTTTAAAGCAAGCCAAATTTTTAATGTTTTTTTTTAAAGGACTTCTATCCCACCGCCCCCAAAATATGGATAGTTTAGCTGTGGTTTTGTTTGCTGTTTTTCCATCATGCTGCCTTCTGCTAAAAGTTATTTGATCTCTGCTGTAAATTCTGCAGAAGACATCTCGGCCCGCCTTCCAGATGTTCTGAGCTGCTTCGTTGAGAACCTTCGTGGTTGCACCAGATGGGAAGGGAAAAAGGGATTGGGGGGGGGTGAAAGCAGAGGGGGGAAATAAGTGGGACTGGCTTATAGTGGGAGGGGGGGTCTTCTCATTTATCAGAATCAAATTACTTGATTGATTCCATAAATCAAAGGATTGGATGTACTTACTCCCATCGATGGCTGATGGAATGGAGCAGCTGGCGGATAGCAGAAAAAAAATCTTACTGTTGTCTTAAAAATGAATTTCAACTCCTCCCAGAAAGAGTCAAAAAAGGCAAGATGGCAACTTGCATAGTCAGTGCTCTGCCCCTTTTCTGAGGTCTGACTTTAGTTTGGCCATATTTCAGTTTTTTACCTCCTCCTGTCTGGAAATAATATTGAGAGGGGCTCCAGATAGATAGAAATAGATAGATAGATAGATAGATAGATAGACAGACAGACAGACAGACAGACAGACAGACAGACAGACAGACAGACAGACAGACAGGTAGATATTGGCATTTAGCTTATCCAGAGTGGGAAGGTGTTTTTTTTTAAATCCACCCCTCAAATAATTTTCCATACCCCCAAACTGATTAAAAATAACCAGATAATTCTTTCTCCATAGGGACGTGGGATGTTTACCACTTCTATGTATTTTTATATATTTCTTCCCCAGCTCTTTAGAAGAAAATCTAATTAGGGGTATTATTATTCTTAATAATAATCTCCCTCATTGGCAAATCACTTCTAGATTCTCTGGGCTGCTGGAAAGCTCTGCCCACCATCGAAAACACCCTTGGCCATGTCAAAAGTTCTCAGCACTAAATTGCCAGTTATCCCTGCCTCCCCCCCCCCATATGGATGTAGCATTCTCAGATGCAGATTGAGAAATGTGGCTGAGGGTCATTTTTAAGCATCTCCCCTTTCTGGTACCTTTCTCTGCAGCTACAGTGGGGCAGCCCTTGTGCGCTAATTCCACAGCTGATGTGTTGAGCTTAGGAGATAGGGAGGAGAAAGCTGACTTAATTTCTGATTTGGGGCAAGAGACCCCCAAATGGCATCATCCATGCCCCCCTCCCCAAGCTTTCTCCAATATGCTGTCTAGAGGGGCCAAATTAAACCTGAAAACAGAGAATGGGATCGGCTCTCGCCACCTTTGACCTGGGTAGATTTGGCTGCATTCTGGCTGACCTTTTCTTCTCCCCCTTTCTCCCCTCCGGTCTCCCCCCAAGAGTTTGCAGGGCTTAACTGGGACGCCCTTGGTTGCTGGCAGCCCCATCCGCCACGACAGCGCCGTGCAAGGCAGCGCGGTAGAGGTGCAGACGTACCAGCCCCCCTGGAAAGCTCTCAGCAATTTTGCTCTGCAGAGCGACTTGGATCAGCCTGCCTTCCAGCAACTGGTAAGAGCCAGAAAATCCACCCCATAACTAGAGGGCAGGGTGTGGGGGGTGCCCTTTGTTGCATTGCTACCTTAATCATCCCACTCATCCCTAAGAATGGTTCCCTATCTCTGGCTGCATCAGTCCCCTCCCTGCATTCTTTATTAAGAAAAGTGGAGAATAGGGAAGAATTCTGTCCTCTTCTCCATCACTGCTGTTTCTCTCCCTCCCCCCCCAAAAAAAACCTCCCCAGGTCTGTGCATTTGAAATATGGGGCCCAGCCCTGGGAAGGACTCCCCCCTTCCACCCCCCCAAGTTGTGTTTGGGAAGACAAAGGCGTCGTAAAATGCGGCCTGTGAAATGATCTCAAGTGCAAAATATTTGTCAAAAGGTTGTCTGCGTAAGGAGAGAGAGCTGGCTTTGCTTTGGGTGTGGGTGTGGATGAGAAAGGGAGAGAGACAAAAAAAAAAATCCAACAAACAACCCAGAATCTAATTGGGCCTAATGGAGCAATATATATATATATATATTTAATAACTTGATTCTGGTATGTGTGAGGTTGGAGAAAAGTGCCCAGGATGATTGGCAAGGGTGTAATGACACACCTGAAACAAGGCAAGCTGTCAACAACAAATATCCTTTTGCAAAATGCGCGTTAAAGGGCCCTGGTGCATGGCATGTGTCTTACAAATGAGAATAGATCGTCCTAAATTGCAGAGAAGGGGATANCATGCGAAGGTGGCTTCGCTTCCAGTATGGACTTTGGCATATGTGTGTGTGTGTGTGTGTATGAGAGAGAGAGAGAGAGAGACACCCCCCCCAACAGATGTTGCATGAAGCGATAAGTTACGATTTGGTGTCTTGAGCAAATCCAGAAGATGGATTGATCTCCAATGCTGGCCAAGCATGTGGGGTTGGATGTAGTTTCAGTCCAGCTGTCAGCACTAACATCTGAATTGGCTGCAAAAATCTAGTTGGCTTCAGTGCCCGGAAGATGAGATGACTTTCTATTCCTTTACCTGGGGTGTGTGTGTGTGTGCAAAATTTATTTATTAAATGCTGCCCATCTCAGCGTGGGTCTAGTAAAAAAAATCTCTTGACCTGGTTGCTGAAGCCTAAAAAGCTGCCATGTCCTGCCATGCATACACCTTTGGGTGCATTTATCTCCAAAATGTTGCAAATCACGTTCCCCCCCCCCCCCAAAAATGGATCTTCTCTCCCAATGTGCTGGATTTCAGATCCAGCCATGCTTAGATTCAGCCTAAGAAAATGCTTTCCAATTTTTTTCCTTTATTAACCAAAACTGCTTATCAGAAAGCCTTATCAAAATTCAGGGACCGATCCTAGGTGCCTTCCTTCAGCAGCGTCATAACTTTGATTGGTCGCTAAAGGAACGGTCGTAACCTGAGGACTCCCTGTATTTATAAAAGCAATGTATGAAAGCAATATCCTTGAATGATCTCTAGGCCATTTCAACATATTACGGCTGATCATTTCATTGCTTTTCCTCTTAATAGGAATACTTTGGGGGATTTTAAAATATATTTTAGTTCATAGGGCCATCTTTTAAGTCAATTTAAATGCCTCTGTTGCAATCGGTCATGGGCTGATGTGTTGTTAGCCAAAGAAAAACCACTTTTACCTAATTTGGCGTAACTGACCCAGTTTTGGGAAGGACTGGCCTAAGGAATCTTCCTATGGATTAATTCACCTCCAGACACAAACAGGGATATTTTGTCACAGTGTGGAAAGAAAATAAGTAGCCAGAATATGAATGCAAAAGTTTAGCCCAGGAGTGTCCAGCGTTGGCAACTTTAAGACTTGTGGACCACATAAATAAACATTTTAGGTCTTTTTAATAATCTTTTATAATTAGTTTTATTACGTGTTTTTATCCAGCATTAGACTATACTCAATGTATTTTTATTGTCAGGTCAGTATGATTCAATTTTTCTGAAGCTAGCTAGTTTTTGTTATACTGTCTGTAAAACGAGGCAGACCTTGGTCACCCATTGATTACGTCATTAATTGTAATATATTGCTATGTCTTCTTGTGTGGGTTCTGTTTAGTTTTGTTTTATTTGAATGTTTAATTTATGTGTTGGCCTTTGGCTGTAATAATAAATTGATTGATTGATTGATTGATTGATTGATTGATTGATTGATTGACTGGTGGACTTCCAACTCCCAGAATTCCCCAGTTAAGACCCTCAAAAATACAAGGGCCTGAATTTTGATCACGTGACCATGAGGATGCTGGCACAGTTGTAAGAGTGAGGACCTGTCGTTTTTTAACCCCATTGTAATTTCAAACAGTCACTTTAACAAATGATTGTAAGTTGAGGATGACCTGTACTCAATTAGAGTATTTTCTATCTGAAGACTCTCCTGATTTTCAGCCATTGAGACTGTCCGGAGGTGTACCCCATTTTTCTAACCTATCTCCCTACTTTGTTCCTTTTTTTTTTTTTACTCCTCCACAGCTCTCCATTTCTGAATCCGGCTCCTTAGGCAACTCATCGGGCAGCGACGTCACCTCTTTATCGTCCCAGCTCCCCGATACCCCCAACAGCATGGTTCCTAGTCCAGTGGAAACGTGAGAGCGTCTTTTGAACGCCTGACCCTCAAGGACATTTCGCATGTTTTCTTTGCTTCTTGCATGAGAACTGAGCGCTACGGCAACACAACCTGTTAAATTATTCTCTTTATTTAAAAACCCGGCTCCATCTTGTCTTCTGTCGGACCGTCCGTGGCTGGAAGTCTTCCGGGGGTTCCCCTGACTTTGCCAAGCAGGGAGGGGGGAAAAGGAGTCCAACTTCCCAGGAATTCTGGTCCTTCCTCCCCCCCACAAATACCTCTGGATTATACTCGAATGAGACTCAGATCCTGGTCTTGTAGTTTTAGAAGATGGCTTTTTCCGTTTTCCTGTTATTTTTCCTCAATGGAAGGAAATCAACTCAACGTGGAATGGCGTAGGGCCATCCAGATGGACCCCAACATCTGTTGCCTTCATCTCAACCAGTTCTGGATGCCCATCGTCAACTCTCTTGTGGCTTCCTTCTTCCCAATTGCCTGGAAAAACCTGGAACTTTTTCTGTCTCCGTTTTTTTTGGTGGTCCCAAAAGAGGAGATTTGTGTTCTTTCTTTCTCACTCTCTTTCTCTCCTCCTGAGCCCGCATGCTTGCTGGAAAAATTCCAGCAGGACTTGTGTGTCTGGTCCAAAACAACCCCCCCTCCTCTTCCCCATTGCCAGTGTTAAATTATCTTGTGGATGGAAGGTGTGTGGTTCTTTCTCAGCCTTTGCAGACCAAAGTAAGTTATTGTTATTTATTATCGCGCAGCAGCAGTGGAGTTGAGAATTTGACCTCAATAATAAAAGAACAAATATCGGATGAGAAAACCTGCCTATCCTTGTCTTCTATACTGCTTGACCTTCCTGAAAGTTAAGGGAGCTGTAGTTCCTCGGATGAACTTGATTGCAGCTTTCCAGTCTCTTTGAACAGTTGATACCAAATCATAAAGTTTAATTTGATAGTAATTCCATTTGGTAGTAAAGCTGAATCTGGATTCTGGTGCCTTTGCGCAAATGGACCCAGAATGTTTTTTAGCAGCGTAATCAAGTGCATGGTCACTTTTCCTGGCCACTGTCTATTATTATTATTATTATTATTATTATTATTATTATTATTATTATTATTATTATTATTATTATTATTATTATTATTTTAATCTTCAATATGATTCACAGTCTGAGACTGGTAAAAACTTAACACTTCAAGTCCTAACCAAGGACCTAAGGGCTATTAAGGTAACATCTGAGTATAGAGGCAGCTCTGAGTAAAGTGATTTTTTGCAAAGTCAGGATATTCAGGTCTAATAAGTTCAAAATTTCCATGTATCGAGGCAGCCCTTTGGGTATTGCTCCAAGGGCTCCTATTACTATTGGTACAACCTTTGATTTTTTCCTCCACAAATGTTCAACCTCAATTTGCAGATCGCGAATATTCCGTTATTTCTTCTAGCTGATTATTTATTTGTTATTTTTTTCTAGCTCATTATTATTATTATTTGGTCTTATTGAGTCTCCCATCCAAATTATATTAAATTATATTCAGATCTGGACCCATCCAACATCTTGAGATCAGCCAGATTTTGCCCCAGGTTGCTGCATAACTAAGAAGTCAAGTATAATGTGAACATATACAGGAAGGATTCATTAATTGGAGTTCCTCCGTTATATTTCATTTTGAGGATATTTATTTTCTTTAATTCAAAGCCAATGTAAAGTTTTCTCATGGCTTCACTTCTGTCCCACTTAGTCACTCCCTCAAAAAAAAAAGTACAATTCTATATCAAGAATGGTTCCATAAAATGTATAATTTGGCTGTTGGGCAAGGGAGAATTTACAAGACTTCACCGGCTTTCTTCACAGATGCAAGAATAGCTCAAATTCCGAAAAAAAAAGTTTTCAAGGGCTGGGATTTGATCTCGCCAGGAGAAGACTGGCCTTCTTTCTCTACGCCCTGGATGAACAGAAAAATACTTGCAATTCTTTGTGTTCAAGTATCAGCACTCTTTTTTTCAAATCGGACATTTCTCTGAAAATGGGGAGATTTCCTGCAAAAACGACACAGTGGCATGTAGTGTGACTACAACAGCATCTCTCTGCCACCGTCAGCCCCAGTTTGTGAGCCTGAATTGTGAACCTGCTTATTTATCACCATGATTTGTGCATTTGCCAATTGGATTAGGAGGCCAAATTATGTGTTTATCGCAATTTATTTATTTATTTGCAAATCGAATGCCCAGACCCTTGAATCATGGTTTCATTGAGGTGGTGTGTGTGTCTGTGTGTTTCAGTCACTCATGAATTTTTTAACTTCTGCATTAGGGCCTCTGTCATCTCTTCCAACTTCCATCTCTCTGTCATCTCTTCCCAAAAATGGAAATCTTTTCCTTCCTTCCTTCCTTCCTTCCTTCCTTCCTTCCTTCCTTCCTTCCTTCCTTCCTTCCTTCCTTCCTTCCTCTCACTTTTTCTTCCTTTCTTCTCTCTCCCCTTTTCCTTCCTTCCTTTTCCTCTCACTTTTCCTTCCTTCCTTCCTTCCTTCCTTCCTTCCTTCCTTCCTTCCTTCCT